TTCGGATTTGGTCTAATGGATCGGATCGTACGTCAGACGGGTTAGACTCTATAAATCCGGGCGAAGAAGATGTGTGGCAGCGCGTGGATGCATTACTACGTCTGGTGACGACGTCTGACGATGCGTGGGGCGCTTGCGAGCTCTCTAAGGCTCGGTTTTGAACATGATTTTTTTCAAAAATGCTCGTCTCGTCGAGAGTGTCAATTTGGTGCAATCAAAAGGTGATTTTAACAACTTTAATTTCTAGGCAAGTTTTGAAAACTTACTCTATTTCACTGTTTTTTTTTTTTTTTTGAAAAATAGGCTCTCATGGTGGTTTGATACCACTGTTGGTTGGAGAGGGACTTCAAACTACTTATGGTAGCTTGAAATAAAACTCAGAGAGATAAATTTGGTGACAAACAAACAAACTTATAAATTATTGAGAAAAATTACAGAACAAGGAGAAAACTCTCTCTGTCTCTCTAACTCTTACACTATTTTCTTCTTTTCTCCCACACACTGAACTCTCAAGATACAATAGCTATATATAGATAAAACTAGTAATGTGAAGGCATTAAATGCATATACAACAATACAATCTTATTTTGACTTTAAGCCTACAAACTTTAAATTGAATGTTTCAAGCAATCTTCGAATGTAGATTTTCCAGATTTTGCTCCTAAGGTGGTGACTAGAGCTAGGGTGGCTATCAAGCTTACTTTCCAAAACCATTGTTATATATTTTTGTGGTAAATGTCATATATTTTTGTGATAAATTTTATGTATTTTTTGTGGTAGAATTACGACAATTTATGATTCAGAAATTAAGTTACACATTTTATGGTAATGTTATATATTTTTGTGTTAATGTTACACATTTTATGGTTAGAAAATGTTTGGATAAAAAAATGTAACATTACTACAAAAATGCTTAATATTACTACAAAATGCATAACTTTATTTCTAAACTACAAATTGTCTGAACTCTATTAGAAAATTATGTAATATTTATTACAAAAGTATATCACATATACTATAAAAATACGTTAGAGTGTGCATATAATACACACCTTTTAAGAGGTATTTACCATTATATATATATATATATATATTAGCTATGGCTCATGCCTAAAGGCACTTACCGCATTGTCATGATAAAAAATATGACACATTATATTAGAACCTAAGCAAAAATTAAAAATAAAATAATTTTTAGGAAGAAAAAACGAAATAAATTGATTATAGATGAAAAAAAAAAAAAAAATAGAGACAATTAAATTCTAAGAGCATCTCCAACCACATTCTTTATTTTTCACTAACTAAAGTACAAAAAAAGGACACTCTTTATTTTACCTAATTAGTTTCGCTATTATGTATTCGAATCATACTCTTTATTTTAAATAGTCATTCAAATTAACTTAGGATAGACTTAAAATTCGTTGACTATGTGTTCTTTGGTTATGCATAGATTAGTTGTGCATATCGTTGGTTTCTTGTGCAAAAAATTGTAAGTTTAGATATACACAAGAATTCCATCTTGGAGTGAAGTGATTTTCTTTGAAAAACATGTTTCTGTACTGAACCCAAAGAATGGGGGGTTGAGTTCCATTAAGCAAACTGATGACCTTGATCAAGAGATGAGCCTAGAAGAAGTAAAAAGGCTAGGACTTTAAAGTCCTTCAGTCTAAACCTCTTAAACCTATTTAGTAGCAAGAGAGGCTCCAAGTTCTGTAGAAGCTGTGATTTTTCTAGAAAGAAGTTATTAAATTGGCCCTATTTTGTAGAGTCCTACTTGGGGATAGGTAGTAAGTCTTGGGGTGCAAGTGAATGAAAGCCGATGGGTTAGGCTTTTATCAAAGGATACCGACAAAGAGAAGGCTTGGATTACTTTGATACATATTCACCAATTATGGTGATTGTGATTGTAGTTTTGCGAAATCTAGAGATAAGTCAAATAGATGTTAAGATAACTTTCCTAAAGAAATCTACATGGAATAACCCAAAGGGTTTTTCATTTTGAGGTCGAGAAAAGTCTGTAAGCTTAACAAATCGTTATATGATTTGAAACAAACACCAGAACAATGGTATGTAAAATTTGACAGCACAATGTTGTCAAGTGGATTTTAAATCAACTGGTATTGACAAATGCATTTATGTCAAAGACATTGACAAATGATATGTCATTTTGTGTCTATATGTTGATGACATACTCATTGTTGGTAGTATTAAAGAGATTGTCAAAACTACCAAAAAAATGTTGAACTTTAAGTTTGACATAGTCATTGTAGATATATATATATATATATGTATGTATATCTTAGAATTAAGATTTCCAGAATATTTGATGGTGTTATACTCTTTCAGCCTCATTACTTTGATAAGATTCTTGAGTAGTATAAGTCAAATACAAGTGTGTCAAAGAATTTGGTAGACTTTAGTCTTCATTTGACTAAGAATAATGGAATATTATTGAATCATAGGAAGTTTAAGTATCTCGTGAGTTATACAAGCACAATGGTTGCATTCTCGCTTCATGTGCCCTTTCTCATGGCAATAATGGCACTCAATGTCTTTCTTTGAAAAAGAACCATCTTTTGATTTGTCACGGCTTTGATCACGACCATGAGGAGTCTTACTCCTCCCCCTTATTTTGCTTCAACCTCTCACAACAAATGCTTCCGAATGAGAGGAACCCGCTGATTTTCTTCTAGTTTTTTTATTCAACAAGCTACTAGTGACTTGGCCCATTGTGACAACTCCATCAGGTGCCGAATTACTAACTGTCACAACCAAAGTCTCCCAACTTTCGGGCAAAGAACTAAGTAGCATCAAAGTCTATAACTCATCATCAAAAACAATTTTCATAGAAGCAAGTTGGTTAACAATACTCTTTATTTCATTCAGATGTTCCGGAATAGGGCTGCCCTATTTATATTTTAAATTAACCAACTTACGAAACAGAAAAGTTTTATTTGTGTCTGATTTCCTGTCATAAAGACTCTAATTTTTTCCATAAATCATGCGCCGAAGTTTTAGTAGCAACATGATGAAACACACTGTCATCAATCCATTGACGGATAACACCAACGGTTTTTCGATTAAGCTTTTTCCATTCATCATCTTTCATACCCTCAGGTTTGCCACTATCACCCTCAATGGGTCCATACAAATCTTTACACAATAATAAGTCCTCCATTTTAGTTTTCCAAGTTACCCAATTACTTCCATTGAAGCTAGACATGCGACCCACATTCCCCTCCATTGATTTACACAAATAAATAAACCCAAATAAACCGTAAGCTCTGATACCAGTTGTTAGGAAAAATATGTGATTCCTCACATGTAAATCAATTAATGGGAATAAAAACTTATGCGGAAAAATTAAATCAAATGCAACACAAGAATTTTTACGTGGTTCCCTCAATGTGAGGTACGTCCACGGGATCGAAATCCGATTTCACTATCAACCAAATAAGTTTCCAAATGATTACAAACGAGACACTTATGGTCTCACAAAGCCACCCTTAGGTGAATTCCAAATAATCACAAATAAAGAAGAGGAAAGACCTCACCAAATAGATGAACCAAAATCTTTAGAACCAAAATTGTAGAAGACCCAAAATAATAATCCAAATTAATTTCACTCACTAACCAATGATGCACAGCAACAATGGAACCATCAATTGAACTTTTGCCCCGAGAATCAATGTTGGCTCCCCAATCTATGTGGCTGCCGCAATACACTTTTTTCCTTCGGCAAAACCAATACCAAATATATATCTATATAATTGATCCTTGAGTTTTGTTATCAAAACCTTAATGGTTACCAAATTGAATTAGGTCTCCATAAATTAAATATAATATATAAAAATATATTATAATTAATACTAAACCAAATTAAACTCTTTTTCTAAAACCAATTAGGTTCCACACTTTAATAAAGAGGTATACCTAACGGAATGTTGCTTTTATTTAGCTATGTTTGGAGTTGTTGGCTTTTTCATGCGGCTCCTGACAATGAGTGGTGTCACCACTCAATTTTCAAATTTTCTTAAAACAAAGGTAAAAATTTATCAAAAATATTTGAGATTTTACAAATTGAACTCAGTGAGATTAGAGAAACAAAAAAATTGTTATTCTTATTCTATTGCATTATCAATATGCTCTATAATTTGTTTTTATTTTGTAAAATTACACAATGCATATTAGAATACAAATTTTGATTTTTTTTTTATTATTTTATTTTAAATGTGCAGTGAAAATAACAAGTACAATTGTCATTGATTCCACCAGTAACAACTACAACTGTGAAAAGATCTTTAGTTGCGATGCAATTTAAATCAAATACGTAACCGAATGAGTGATGGTTCTTTTTTTTTTTGGATTCAGAGTGATGGTTGAATGAATGATTATTTGACTATATAGATTGAAAATATGTGTTTGATAGCATATGCAATAAGGTTATCGTATAATGATTTCAAAAAATAAAACGCATTGTGAACAATTGTATTAGTGTAGATCTTTGCTTAATTTTTGTTGAAGCAATAGTATTAATGTCCCAACTTTAAGTTTAATATGTAATTTGAAAAATTTAAATTACCTTTGTTGATGTGATTAAAAATATATAAAATTACAATAGATTATATGAAAATTGATTTTGATATAGATTGTGTAGAACTTAAATCCAACATAATGATATTGATGATACTTGTTTAATATGACCCTGGTGAACTAAGATTCTAGCTATGCCACTGGTTGCAGGTTGAGTGGTCTTAAGTATATTAGTGTAATTGTTCCTGTTTCCTCCTTCATTATTTTTGTTTATTGGTCATAAAAATAATAATACAAGAAATGTAGTTCAAATGGGTCAAAGATCAAAATTTCTGTCATCCAAATTTCTTATAGTATTGAACTCAATGTACTCCAAGTATGTATTGGCTTAACCTTTTATAGATGATAATGATATAATTGATGAAGAAGTGGTTAAGCTGTGTATACCATTAAAGAACAGAGGAAAATTATATTTTCCACATTCATTCTATTATGATGTTAACAAGTAGTAATGGCTTCACGTATTTGTTAGCCAATTGATTTCAACCCCCCCCCCCAACCAATATATTTCTTGCTCATTTATATCTTTCATTCCCAATTTGTATCCTTTGCAAATTATATGCATTTGTTTTCAGTTTTGCGACCTTTGCTAATTGGTTGTTTGGCAGAGTTCTTTCTAAAAGATAGCAGAGAAATGAATGATTATGCATGAAGAGTGTTTTGGAAGGTAACTATAAGTCAATTCAAATACTAAAGGAAACGAATCCTCTGACAGGTGCTATTCCTCATATCTGACAGGTAATTATAGTGTTTCCTTGACTGAAAATGTTTTATACCCAATAAATGAGCGTAATTCACTATTTCTGCTGAGCTGTTTGAGCTGTTTTTCATGTTTGTTCCGTTTATTTGGATAAGGGAATGATGAAATATTTCCAAATGAAATAAACATAGTGGAACAATTATTATAGATTGGCATCATTTGATAGTACCTTTTAGTAGCTAAGAAGCATGGGCACGGGCATGGACACTACACGGACATGCTAATATGGAAATTTTCAAAAAATGTAGACACGGTATGTGAGGGACACGTACAAACTATATAAATTAAATATATTTTTTGTATGCCATATATAAGGATAATAAATTATGAATGAATAAATTCAAATGTCATTACGTACCCTGTCATCCTCAAAAGATTTTTGCACTACAATATATAGCAACATATATTATGTAGTAGTTGCTTGCATGAAGAAATTCAACAATACCACAAACCCATAAAAAAATATCAGAAAATTACCCGGATAAATACATCTATGAATATCACAATCATTCTAGGTGTGACTCACATTCCACCCACTTTAAATCTACACCATACAACTCGTTTGGGGGTAACTTTTCATGGTACCTAGCATTTCTAGTAGAATTTAGTTATGTTTCATGTAACAACATGAATCATGTTAAATGCAAAAGCTGGTAGAAACTTTTTGCTAAGCTTGGTGGTGAAAAGACTCTTCTGCAGTATGGGAGAATCATTTCTCTTTAATACCTTATTTTAAGGAAGAAACACCATCTTAAGAATTTGTAGTAGCTACAAGCCTAGATTTATGTCATCTTCTTATAATATTACCAGTTACCATGATGAAAATTTTCTAGTTGAAATTTGCTCAACATGCTTGTTGGATGGAAGATATCACTATTGTTGTATATTATACTTCTTTTGTGCTTTTATATTTTTTCGTTTGCTTCCTCATTATGCACCATGCTGTCAGTGATGGGTAACGATGATGAAAGCATAGGGGACAATGATTTAGAAGTCGACGCTTCGGAGTTCCAATCGAATGTAGAAGATGGAAGGACAGTAGTTGCCTCTAGGGGCAGAGCAGAGGTAGAAGGAACTATAGGTTGAACCCTCAAGATTTACGATCCCTGTTTATTTTTACTTTTTAATTTCCTCTTTTTTATCCTATACTTTTTGCCCCTTTATTTGTGTTAATATGTCATTTTTATTAAGTTATTAGTGTGGCAAATTTTGTCCCTTGCTTTTGATGCCATGCCAAGGAAGTTGTGCTGGTGGTGTAACTGGAGAGTGGAGACTGGTTTCCTCTCATATATAGGTGCTAAAGCATCAAACATGAAAAAGTTTGCTTTCTATATATATGCTTTCTACTCAATGTCCATTCATCGTATTTGGCTTGAATATATATATGTGTGTGTGTATAGTTGAGAGTGTTGGAGCAGTTAATGTCTAGAGTCTTTGGAGTTCCTCAGTTGACCCCTTAAGGTTGTGTTTAGATCTTAAATTTGTGGAAAAAAAAGAAAAAGAGGGGAAATTGAATGAAATAGAAACAAAATTGTTTACAGAAATATTGGAAAAATGTTGGGGTGTAGGTGTAACCATCAATATTAAAAAGTTATATATATATATATATTTATGGAATTTAACTATTGTTTCGAGAGGGGCCTACATGATTTTCACACAAATTCCATGAGTCCAAAAGCTTAAGAGTAGCACTCCAAGCTTCACTTCCCTATGTTTTCTACACTCTGAAAGGAAGTGACCCTCAATTTTGGGTTCACTTCTTTTGACCTCTGATGCAATTCTTGAATGCCTCCCTTGTCTGATGCTCATCCCCCAAGTGTTCTTAAATCTTTACTTGAAAACTTCTACTTGTTATAACCCTTATTATTTATTAGTTTAATTAAATATAACAATTATTAAGTATATAATATACACATAGAAACTCATATCAATACCCATTCCCACCATCAACCCTACTCATCTCTAACCAACAACTCAACAACAGAATTCGAAAACCCTATTTTTCCTCTCCCTACCCACATACACACTGCTTTCTCTCACCAAAATGGTCACCTTCTTTCTACTAGCATTGTTATTTATCCTCCTCCTCCTCCTCAATTCATTTCCGGCCATGTGTCAAATTGGCCGTGAAGGCGAATGGTGTCTCTTGCATGCAAGCATTGGCATATCTGCTATGCACATGCAACTACTACATAACAACAAGGTTGTCATGTTTGATAGGACTGATTTTGGCCCCTCTAATCTCTCTCTCCCCTATGGCCGCTGCCGGTATGTTCCTTCCGATAATGTCCTAAAAAATGACTGCACTGCTCACTCTCTACTCTATGACACAGGCACTAACACTTTTCGGCCACTAATGGTAGAGACTGATACGTGGTGCTCCTCTGGTTCTGTCCTCCCCGATGGAATGCTAGTCCAGACCGGAGGCTACAATGATGGTGATCATGTAGTGCGCACGTTAGCCCCGTGCAATGATGAGTCCTGTGATTGGGTTGATTTTCCCGGTTATCTATCGGAGCGTAGATGGTATGCAACAAATCAAAGACTACCAGATGGTCGGATTATCATCATCGGTGGAAGGAGACAGTTTAACTACGAGTTCTACCCTAGAAACTCTGAATCTTCATCTTCTTTCTGGCTTGAATTTCTCAGAGAGACTAGAGATGATCATGAGAACAACTTGTACCCATTTGTACACCTATTGCCAGACGGAAACTTGTTTATTTTTGCCAACACAAGAGCTATATCTCTAGATTACAAGCAAAATCGTGTTGTTAGAGAGTTCCCTTCAATAACCGCCGATGATCCTCGAAACTACCCTAGCTCAGGTTCATCCGTGTTGCTCCCCATAGATGAAAACGAGCCCATTGAGGCTGAGGTTATGGTATGCGGCGGTGCACCCCGTGGTGCATTCTCCAGGGCTAAACAAGGGATCTTTGATGCTGCGAGTCGCTCATGCGGACGCATAAAGGTCACGGATGAAAATCCCAGTTGGGCCATGGAGGACATGCCGATGCCTCGTGTGATGAGTGACATGATACTTCTTCCCACTGGTGACGTGGTCATCATCAATGGTGCCGGATCAGGTACTGCGGGTTGGGAAATTGGGCAAAACCCGGTTACCCGACCGGTGATTTACAAGCCCCACGGGGTTGAGGACATCCGGTTTTCAGTCATGTCCCCTGCGACAAGGCCAAGAATGTACCATTCGAGTGCTGTTTTGCTAACTGATGGTCGTGTTTTAGTTGGAGGAAGCAACCCACATCCATACTACAACTTCACTGGGGTACAATACCCGACAGACCTGAGCTTGGAAGCCTATTCACCGCCCTACTTGAGACCCGAGTACGACCCAATACGCCCCAGAATTATGAATATCAATGAGAGTTTCAGGTATATGCAGTCATTTTGGGTTACTTTCACGGTGCTGAGGTTCCTGAAACTGAGTGTTGTATCGGTGAGAATTGTTGCACCGTCGTTTACGACGCATTCGTTTGGTATGAACCAAAGAATGGTGGTGCTGAAGACGAGTGAACTATACTGTGTTGGGTCAGAGGAGTATAGGGTAACTGCAATAGGGCCTTCAACAGCTGAGATTGCACCACCAGGTTACTATCTGCTGTTTGTTGTGCATGCTGGTATACCAAGTTCTGGTATGTGGATGAAGATTCAGTGATGGGTTGTTTGTGTGTAGCTAATATGTAATTTTTTTGCTATAATAATATAGATTTCAGTTGTAGTATATTGCAAGGAAATGTGAATGCAAGGGGTTATGATTGATTTACTGGAACGATAAGGATTTGTTTGATTTGCATTCTAAGAATTGGAATAATATTGTAGAGAATTGAGTAATGGTATAAAAGCATATTTTGTTTACTTTTTTATAGAATGATGATATGGTTCATTTTTATTCATTAATTTAAAGTAGACAGATTCATGACAGGGATTTATAGTTTTAGAAATGTTAGTACCATGTCAGTCTTGTATGGAACTTGTGTATAATATAGTCTACAAACACATAATTTTACTAAAATCTTACAAAAGGACATGTTGCTGACCATGATTAGTTTCTCAAATATTGGTGTTATGAGCTCATTTTTTGAACATCCAATCATGCTTGGCAAAATATGCATTCAGTGAGAATTTTAGTAAAGTTATTTTGTTTTATAGATTTTTTGATAAAATTTATGTTTGCTTGGCATTTTGTTTAATAATTATGTGGGCTTACAGGAAAAAAATATAACTCTCATGGATAGTCCAATCGTAACTTGTAAGGGGGAGTTGGGGGAAGAGGGGATTGAGGGGATGAGGAGAGTTTGCCGAGTGTCGAGGGTGGTGGGAAGGGGAAGGGTCAATGGTGGAGGGAAGGGGGGAGATAGGAGAGAGAGGAGAAAGGCAACGGGTGGTGGGGTCATTGCACATTGGCTACGGACGAATTGAATTATTCATTGTTTAGTCGACGTGGGACAAACAGGCGCCAATTCGTGTGTCAACAACAACAATTCCATATCACAGAAATATGTTTGTTTTCTTAGCGAGAAGTTTGTATATTTTGTCAATGTTACCAGAAATATGGTTGAAAGCTTCTGTAAAATTCAGTTGAACTATAGTTCCATAAAATTCAGTTTATAGATGTGTTCATCAAATTTAGTTGAACTATAGTTCCACAACAGTAGAACATACAATATCGCACAAAAAACAAATACAAAGAGCTCAGTACTTTATCAGAAATTGGTTTTTCTACTTCATTTGTGATCCTTTGACTTGGGTTTGAGTCTCCCTCATCCACACAAAAAGAGAAGAAAAAGAGTTAAATAAATATAGTGAGTGACATGATACTTCTTCCCACTGGTGACGTGGTCATCATCAATGGTGCCGGATCAGGTACTGCGGGTTGGGAAATTGGGCAAAACCCGGTTACCCGACCGGTGATTTACAAGCCCCACGGGGTTGAGGACATCCGGTTTTCAGTCATGTCCCCTGCGACAAGGCCAAGAATGTACCATTCGAGTGCTGTTTTGCTAACTGATGGTCGTGTTTTAGTTGGAGGAAGCAACCCACATCCATACTACAACTTCACTGGGGTACAATACCCGACAGACCTGAGCTTGGAAGCCTATTCACCGCCCTACTTGAGACCCGAGTACGACCCAATACGCCCCAGAATTATGAATATCAATGAGAGTTTCAGGTATATGCAGTCATTTTGGGTTACTTTCACGGTGCTGAGGTTCCTGAAACTGAGTGTTGTATCGGTGAGAATTGTTGCACCGTCGTTTACGACGCATTCGTTTGGTATGAACCAAAGAATGGTGGTGCTGAAGACGAGTGAACTATACTGTGTTGGGTCAGAGGAGTATAGGGTAACTGCAATAGGGCCTTCAACAGCTGAGATTGCACCACCAGGTTACTATCTGTTGTTTGTTGTGCATGCTGGTATACCAAGTTCTGGTATGTGGGTGAAGATTCAGTGATGGGTTGTTTGTGTGTAGCTAATATGTAATTTTTTTGCTATAATAATATAGATTTCAGTAGTAGTGTATTACAAGGAAATGTGAATGCAAGGGGTTATGATTGATTTACTGGAACGATAAGGATTTGTTTGATTTGCATTCTAAGAATTGGAATAATATTGTAGAGAACTGAGTAATGGTATAAAAGCATATTTTGTTTACTTTTTTATAGAATGATGATATGGTTCATTTTTATTCATTAATTTAAAGTAAACAGATTCATGAGAGGGATTTATAATTTTAAAAATGTTAGTACCATGTCAGTCTTGTATGGAACTTGTGTATAATATAGTCTACAAACACATAATTTTACTAAAATCTTACAAAAGGACATGTTGCTGACCATGATTAGTTTCTCAAATATTGGTGTTATGAGCTCATTTTTTGAACATCCAATCATGCTTGGCAAAATATGCATTCAGTGAGAATTTTAGTAAAGTTATTTTGTTTTTATAGATTTTTTGATAAAATTTATGTTTGCTTGGCATTTTGTTTAATAATTATGTGGGCTTACAGGAAAAAAATATAACTCGCATGGATAGTCCAATCGTAACTTGTAAGGGGGAGTTGGGGGAAGAGGGAATTGAGGGGATGAGGAGAGTTTGCCGAGTGTCGAGGGTGGCGGGAAGGGGAAGGGTCAATGGTGGAGGGAAGGGGGGAGATAGGAGAAAGAGGAGAAAGGCAACGGGTGGTGGGGTCATTGCAAATTGGCTACGGACGAATTGAATTATTTAGTCGACGTGGGACAAACAGGCGCCAATTCGTGTGTCAACAACAACAATTCCATATCACAGAAATATGTTTGTTTTCTTAGCGAGAAGTTCGTATATTTTGTCAATGTTACCAGAAATATGGTTGAAAGCTTCTGTAAAATTCAGTTGAACTATAGTTCCATAAAATTCAGTTTATAGATGTGTTCATCAAATTCAGTTGAACTATAGTTCCACAACAGTAGAACATACGATATCGCACAAACAACAAATACAAAGAGCTCAGTACTTTATCAGAAATTTGTTTTTCTACTTCATTTGTGATCCTTTGACTTGGGTTTGAGTCTCCCTCATCCACACAAAAAGAGAAGAGAAAGAGTTAAATAAATATAGAAAAAATTATACTAGTAGTCCTTACATTTTACCTCGTGTTATTTTGGTTACTACACTTTCAATTAACTTAATTTTAACTCTAAATTTTAAATTTTGTATCAATTTGCTTCAATTGATAACACGGTTAGTGTTTATGATGAAAAATATCACTAAATTGGTTAACTCACCGTCACTAGTTGAACAAGTTTATAATTTTGCCTTAAAAAATATGACATAATGTCACTTATGTGGATATTTTTTATTAAAAAGTGTTAACAATTGTAAGTAATTGGATTAAATTGAGACAAAATTATAAATTCAAGATTGAAATTGAGTCAATTGAAATTACAGAAACCAAAATGATACAAAGACTTAAATACATGGACTATCAATGTAATTTGTACATATATATTTTTATTTTTTGATCAAACGGTAGAATATTGTTGTAGTATTACATATGTGAAGACTAAAACTTAGTAGCCTGAAGTCTTGTTTCTCTTTATGCTAGGGGTGGATAAGACTCGAAACTAAGCCTTTTGGTGTGGTAAAGAAAATTCTTACCATATGAGTAACACAATATATATGCATATGGTATTTTTTATTTACTTATTGTTTTAGTTTACTTAAATTGTATACACATCAGCCACTACTGTTAGTAAAATTTTTGTTAGGCTTAGATCGATAAAGCATTAACTAAAATTTCACCAAACAACACAATGATTAAGCAATTGTGTTGAGATTTTATGCCTTGAAAGTTCAAGGACTTCCTTGGAATAAAAATAATGGCAGTACAAACAAGAAAAAGAGAAAGAGAGAAGATATAGCGATCCCGATTTTACCTTCATTGTTTAATTGTAATATATGACAACTTTTCAAAGATTTTGCATGATTATACTAGATTCATCGAAGATGATGATATAAATGATTGAATGAACAATCAAATACGAGTAAAGTATATTAAGACTACTCCTATCTAAATTTAAAATACTCTTATGTAGATTAGATCTACTCCTAGGATAGAAAAGAAATAGAAATCAACTCATGTATTGATTTGTTGGTGTCTTACAATAGAGCCATTAATGGCAATTTATAGAAAAAATGGAGGAAAAAACTTTCATTAACCACTACCTAAATAATTACTTTTAACTTCCGAAATCTTCAATCTCCTTTCTTACAATGCCATGTGCCTTCTATCCCTTGAATCTTCAAAACTTACCTTAACTCCTCTTTAACCTTCAAGATTTTCTTGCATAATAATAATAATAAAAAGAAGAAGTAATAGAAAATTTAAACCTAGTCATAATTGACGGAAAATCTATTTATGGTGCAAACAATACCCTACCAACTCTTTAAAAATAAGAGCACTTGATTTCTTGAGGAGTTGTATGAACATAAATACATAATAGAAACTATGAAAATTATAATCGATTGGCCATATATATATAATTTATTTATTTATTTTGTGTGTGGCCACATCGAAATACTCCTCTATTACTATTATATAAAAAATAGAAATAAAATTCAGAATTTCTTTTTGTAAACCACTATATCAAAATTAATTTTTGATGTGACCCACAAAGCCATTGTGGTTGTTGGATGATAGAAATCATAATATCAATTTGACACGCCCCAAGATAACATCACAATCCATCATTACAATTAGTGGGCAATGCCAACATATCTTCCATTATTTCCGTAACACATTAATTCAATGTACATCCACCATATATTAAAATTTCATTCACATAACAAGTACAAATATGTTTCACGACCTTCTACATTATCCATTAAATCATTCATTGTTTTGTCATACAAAAATATAACACACATCCATAGAGGCAAAGATTCATCTTTAAAGTGTTCACAATTCTTGGGTTCAAAGTATTTCTTTACTTTTCCATATTATTATCAAGTCTTCAAATTCAATTTTTAAAACACATTGGTTATCAATTACTATCCACGGTTATAAATTAAATCTCCAACATTTAATTTCTTTGATACAACTCATTCATATAACATCGTCATATTTCACAATCTCCCATTTATCATTATTTACACTCATCTTAACCCAACATAGACTTAATTTCATAAATTTAATGTTGATTGAAGTATCCTCATTTTCTAAAATAAAACTTCATAACTAGAGTTAAATATAAAGTTGGGCTTTTAGTTTTGAGGTATAAAATCACTTTTTAATTACACAATAAAATTATTAAATCTTCACTTCATCATCTTATTATAGATTCCGTATCATCTTTCAACTCCCCCTACGGGTACCAATACAACACCACCCAACACAACTCATCTCAAACTCAACATGACCCAACACAACATAACTCAAACTCAACACAACTCAACTCAACACAATTCAACATGATTCAAACATAATTCAACATAATCAACACTATTCAACATAATTCAAGGTGAACTCTTAAACCATTATTTCATCATTTCACTCCAAGGCTCATGTCATCCATATCATCAATAAATCATTTCCCTAATCTTAATTTCACATTATAGCATAATTTACAATATCCATAACAAAGGTTCCATTGCTAACTTTTAACATAATTTTCAAACACATCCAAAATCCAATTAAACTTGTATATATAAAATTCAACCTTTCAATTTCATGATTCTACTTTCAATTTGGGCAAAATCATTAATTATCATCATGAATCAACCTAGGGTTTTCAAGAAAAATCAAGACTTTCAAGAAAAATTAAAACTTCTCTCACCACTACTTTTAATTCTAATTTTTCTCTTGATTACACACCTAAGGTTCATAATCCACCATATTAACCCAACAATTGAACCCCCAACATTTCAAACCCTAAACCCCCAAATTCCATGATATAACACTATATGCTCAAAAATGGAGATTTTGTATTTGTATAATCAAAATATCATAAATCTATCTATTAATACAAGTATTGAAGAAGAACTAGGACCCCTACCTCAAGAATCAAGCAAAAGAGCAAAGTTTTGATAAAAATCCTTCGCAAATCCGAATTCCAATCGGTAGAAAAGTAAGATCTTCAAGCCTCTTCACTTTCTTGTAAGAGATCTTGCCCAAATCTTAGAAGAATGGAGGGTATTTGGGGTCAAAAACCTAGGGTTTTCGGACCTAGGGTGAGAGGAATGAAGAAGGAAAAGGAAAATGCAAAGAATGAGCTAAAAAATCGCATTTTAAGCTGCTGAATTCGCGCAGTCCGCTCGAGTGCCTATTTTCACGCTCGAGCCGACATGCTTCCAGCACAGATTCCAAAACTTCAAACGGGCATAACTCTCTCATCCGGACTCCGTTCTAGGTCATTCTTGTGTCCAAATCGAAGCCCCGGAAATAAGCTTTCCGATGGTTCTAGCCTCACATCCAAATTCAAAGTGTGGAAAAAAAAAAGGGTAAAAGAGTGACGGCTGTTCGTAGGAAAAGTTATCCGAATTAAATTCTCGGTTCACTCTTACTTTACTATCATGCTACCACTTCGATCAATACCCCAAAAGAAAATAAGGAGGTTCCAAATACACTAATAAAAATGTCAAGGGCAATCTCACTTTCCACGCTCGAGTGTTGCTTTCCACACTCGAGCGCGTGGACCAACAAAGCTGTCCGCTCGAGCGACCACTCCTACGCTCGAGCGGGAATTCACAACTCTCAGAATTTCGGACCGTCTGCATAAATATTGAGAACCTCTCAAGTCCGCTCGAGCGTCAACTCCCTCGCTCGAGCGGAGGGAAAAATTCCAGATCGTTACACAATTGACTTTTGAAAGTTAAATTTTTTGACAAAATTAGCAATATCAAAAAATTCAAATTCATCAAATGTGGATTGTTCAAAATTTTCAACCATGTTTAGTTTAAAATCATATCCCTGAATTGGATTTTTACCATCATTTTGTGATGGTTGTTCATAAAATTTATCCATGTTTGGCTAAAAATCATGCCCTCTAATTGGATTTTCACCATAATTTTGTGATGGTTGTTTATCAAATTCAGCCATGTTTGGCTTAAAACTATGCGTTCCAATTAAATTTTCAGCATCATTTTGTGATGGTTGTTCAACATTTTTTTGGTCATATGTGACTTAAAATC